GCCAGTCCTTCTCCCAGGAAGAAATGGGGCTAGGGAAACTGCCATTTCAAAGGATCACCCCTTCTCCCTTCCCTCTTCCTGCAGGCCGTGATCTTGCCCCCTCCCTCTATTGTCTGCCTGGATAAGGTATAAGGAGCTGGAAAATAATCCAAGCCTTTACCTTTTTTTTTTTCTCCTTCCGATGATGTTCACTGCTTAGGAGAATGGCAAAATCAGCCCTTGCTGAGGAGGAGAAGGAGGGTTGATGGGGATGGAGAGCAGAGTCTGCCACCAGCTTAAAAGATGCATCCAGAAGAACTGAGCTCCGTTTGCCATGTCTGGACCAAGGTTACTCCATCATTTTTTTCCGGTGAAATTCAGGCTGGTCTAGTCTGACTCCCCAAACAGACAGCAGCAAAATCCAGTCTACTAGGTTTTCCTTCCACCGGGTCCTACCTAGTCCATTTCCACTAAAATCCAACCGGCAGAACCCCCTCCCTTTAAGCAAAAAAAATCTCCAGACTGATCCATTCTTATGTCAAAAAAAAAAAAAACAGGTGCTCACCAATTCTTCCGGGGATTAGTTTCATCGGGGTACCCAAGGCATCAGATCGCACTATACCCCAACTGAGTCTGCCCTCAAAATCCCAAGAGCTCTTAAAAACTGGCTGTGGCTCGATTCATTTTTTTCCGTGGGATTCCACCAGGAAGGACCCCAAATTCAACTGCTCCTGTCGAAGTGGAAGTCAAGCCATCTTGGTCCCGTCTACCGGAAGATTCTTTAGCCTGGGAGGGGGCGAGGACTTTTAGGCCCCAGCATCTCCGGGCTTCATTGGGAGAAGCCGTTGGTGGTGATGGAGGTCCAAGGTCCGCGCGACGGCTGCCATGGGAGAGAGAAGACAGGGCAGAGTGTTGCAGGAAACGGCGTTGGATGAAATGGCTGTGGAAGCTAACAGGGAGGACAATGGACAGAGATAAGCGCGCCCCTTCGCGCGCGCCCCGTGTGTGTGTGCGTGTGTGTGTGTGTGTGTGTGTGTGTGTGTGTGTGAGAGAGAGAGAGAGAGAGAGAGAGAGAGAGCGCGAGCGTCTGTCTGTACGTGTGTGAGTGAGAGTGTGAGAAGGTGCGGGAGAGGGGAAGCCTCGGGAATTTCCGGACAGCTTCGGCCCCAGCGGCGGTGGGAGGGATTTGGGCAGGAGGGAAGCATCCTTTTTCACTTGCAAGAACCAAGAGCAGCTGGTGGAAAGCACCAAGTGCCGGGGGGTGGGGTGGGGGGTGGGGGTAGGGGGACTCTGGGAAATGCTTGACAGAAGCCTACCTTAGATCCGGGAATTCGGCTTTATAGGTCATTCACCAGGAAGGAGAGGACTCAAGGCGAGGGCTTCGTTTCTAAACTTCTGGAACAGGTCCGAGGGTCAAATGGGTCAACATTGCTTATATAGAGTCAAGAAGGAAACCCATATAGACATAAAAAGACACGCACCTTGTTTAGTATAATTCTCCTCTTCGCCCCCTCACGGGCTTTTAATACTATATCCCACCACCCTTCTTTCCAATGCAATTTCAACACTCGGTTGCCAAGTCAACCATAGGAAGGAAAACTTCTGCAAATTAAATCTTAAAGAAAGCTCCTCCTTGTCTCATGCTCACAAGTGCACAACAATACAGAGTGTTGCATTGTATGGGGCCACAAAGGATACATATTGCAGAGCATATTTTTAAAAACTTTCACGAATCTTTCCATTGGGATATCTGTAAGGCTGTGGTCAACTATTGGAAAGCTATTTTGATAAGGGTGTGTGTGTGTGTGGAATGAGCACAAGGGCTCCAGTCCCACCCCAAAAAGCCTTGTTATGAATGTTGCTAATCCAAACTTCCCTTTTCTCCATAAGTTATTTTATAAATTTATAGATCATTCACTGCAAAAAAAAGTGCTTAGGGAAGCCAATGAAAAGTAAGACAAGTCCAACATGCAATATTATTGATAAAGCTACCAGCTTTGTTTAAATGCTGTTGTTGGAAGTTAAAACCCACCCACTCCTAGAAAAATGAAAATTTTTAGGATATACTAAAGAGGCAGAATAGTTCCCCTAAAAAGAAAAGTAGAAACTCAGAGAGGCAGAAACTCAGCCCCTCCCCCTTTTGCTAATGGGCCATTACTCTGGCCTAGGCCTGTCTATTTTACATAACAAAGATCTACTCCAGGTAAAGCTATAATAGAAATTGCCCAAAACCCTTTCATTGCATCATCATCCAGCAAGGCTCCACCAAGCCTGAGACTCAGGACAGCCTACAGAGTTGACCCTGCATGGCCCCATGGGAGTCTGACAACCAATCAGAATACAAGCTCCAATTCAAATCCCAACAGAGGGTATAAAACAATTGCATTCTCAGCATATCAGCCCTTCTTTCTTCACCCAAGGTATGTTAATCTGTCCACCATTAAACCATATTTCCAAGCAGTCACCATGTTTCCAATGTCTTTCTTCCCCACTTGGACCTGAATCCAGAAGGCTATTTCTTCCAAGACTGTTTAACGCTATTTTGTTCAACCTTTTGTTCAGTGCAGAAATCCATATTAAATAATTCTTGACAGTGGCTGTAAGGGGAATCTACCATCTACCTAGAAAATAAACATCTTTTATTACTGCATTTTTTTCAATCCAAATCTACCTTGTAATTTATGGCCAGTATTCCCCAATCTGGAAAGAGGGAGAACAAATTGCAGCTTTCTGGATGGTAATTTTTCTGTTTTTTCCTTTATGGGGTTAAGCATACTTTCCCACTAGTATTCATTTTCCAATCTTATGAGTTTTGTTCACATTCACTGTAACTGTTCCAAACTTGTCTGAATCCTTTTTAGGTATAGTGCTCCAGCTAGGCCTAGGATACCAGATGAGTACTCTGGTACTCTGATCAGTACCAAATGAACTGAAAATAGTGTGTAAACTAAGTCTCCAGAATTAGAAAGTCAGCATGATCTGGAGAAGGGTTCCAATGAGCAGACACAGATGTACACATCAACATTCTGAATCATGCTTAATAATTCCCTGATAACCAGTGACAATATTTGTGCATCATTCTGGTCCCAATCCAAAGTCTAGCATCTGTACCTTGATCTCATTCCAGTTCATATGCTGCAATCAAGTGCATGGACAGTTATCTTTGTTCAGTCAGTCAGTGATGGCAAATCTTTTGGGGCTTAGTGTGTCAAAAATTCAGAAAATATATATGTTGCAGACACATTGAGGAAGCTGCATGTCACACAAGGCCTTCATTCTTGAAAGCTTCAGAAAATGTTCTTCCACAGGGTCTGTAGTCTCCAAAAAGTGTGAAAACATTCCCCAATCTCACATGATTCCCAGTGGCTCTGGGGGTAGCATGATGTCCAGAGGCATACTGCCATTTTCAGTGGCTGTGTACAGCCACTGAAAATTGTGTGAGAGTAGGATGTGCTTTCAAGAATAATTGTCAAGTATTGGTGAACATTGGCATGTCATCCAAAATATAATAGTGTGTCACCTTTGACACACACGTCGTAGGTTCACCATCACTGGGCTTAATTATGGTCAGAATATCACTTTCATTGTTTCCAGCAACAAAATTGGACACAGAAATGTTTGCATACTGACACTGTTCCTTTTGTGAAATGCCACTCTAGCCATGAAAATATTGAAAGAACCTGTTCCATTCCTCAGGTAGATTAACAGGGTTAGCCTCAGCAACTAATATTTTGATATTCTTTATACACCTTAATATAGGCTGCTAGGATCAATAATATTCTTCTGGCCAGTTCTCTGCACTGATGCTGTTTTGTCCACCCCATGTTCTTCAACTAGTGACATTGGCTCTCTCCTTGAGAAGCTGCTTCTCCCCATAGCTTCAAGCAGCTGGTCTCACTTTCTCAGAATGCTGTCATCAAAATGCTATGTAATTGAATGACAGCTAGTGATTTACATGAGATTAGACAAATTCATGAAGAATAAGCTGCTAACTGCATGGTCTGTCTGCTATTTCTAAGTTCATAAGTAATGCATTATAGAATATAATGCATTACTGGAAATGTGCCTGTCTCACAGGCTTTCCAAAAACTTATCTACTGTGAAAAACAGAATATCGAATAACCCTTTGTTTTGTTTCAGCTCTGATTACTGTTGCTTTGCCTCTGCTGGATTGGCTGTCCGATTATTTGTTCAAGGCACCTCTTTGGATTGTCTCCCCCTTATCTAGGGGAGACATGAAAGGAAAAACAAGATCTGGCCTAAGGGGCTGCATGCAGCTAATGTCCTTTTGTAAAGCAGAAGATGTTGATTGCAAACTAACCAGAGCAGCAGTCTTCTGCAAAATAAATTCAATGACTTGCACATTCATAAACATGGATATTTTGCTGTCCTAAAATAGTCTTATGCTCCCGTTAGACAGGAAATTTCCCAGCCTTCATTGGTGATTTATTTAATAATTTTCAATAAAGCATTTATTTGCTCTGATATTTTGTTTCTAACCATTTTTTTTTCTAGATGGGAGAATCCCAAGGGTAATGAAGTCCATACACACAAAACCTAATTTTTACAAACATTGTAGAAGAAAAAAAGTCTACACGTTGAAGTAAATTCTTGTTGCTTTGCCTATTTTGGGTTGACTTCTGACACTGAAATCTAATGCCAGAATTGGGTATCAATGTCTGTAACAGAGGTGGTATTCGGAACAGTTCTGATCAGTTCTGGAGAACCGATGGCGGAAATTTTGAGTAGTATGGAGAACCGGCAAATACCACCTCTGACTGGCCCCACCCCATTTATTCCCTGCTTCCCAAGTCCCAGCTGATTGGCTGGGTCTTCTTTTGTTGCCATGCACAGGAGAAGAGAGATGAAAAGCAGGTTAGTGGGATAGGCAGGGAATGGGATTTTGCAGTACCCTTCCCCTGCCACGCCTACCAAGCCACGCCATGCCCACCAAGTCACGCCCACAGAACCGGTAGTAAAAAAAATTGAATCCCACCACTGGTCTGTATCCTGTGACAGACACTTTATTGAACAGATTGTCAAGTTCTCAGATATTACTAAACACTTCTTTCTTAAGCCAATTTTAATGCTTTTTGCAAGAGTCAGTTTAAACCAGAAACTAGGCATTTTCAGGCATATGGAATTGTACTATATTACCAATTACCAGATTTCTCTATTTTTCTCCTGAAATTCATGAGTTTCAAGTGTCACTGAATCCCAGCATCCTTTATTACTGGCCACGTTAACTATATTCAGCAACACTGGGGGGGGGGGGCCAAGTTTCCTGCCCTGGCTTGAACTAGAATGTCAGAATTGGGGCAGAGATAAAATGACTGAGGACTACCAACTTTTAGGCATCTTTTTGCTGATAATGACAAGTTAAATAATTTAGATTTCAGTTCATATTATCTATTGGGGAAGAACAGCCTCTTGAAATAGTATTCTTGGGTCATTAATTGAATCAAAGAAGGAAAGGGGGAATATGGAAGCAAATACTTGGGGGGCTGAGGCTTCCAAATAATCACAGGAGGGCAGGTAGCAGTTACCCTAATTCATTTGTTGCAGTTTCCAAAAAATTCCCAAGGACACAAGTGCTATATATAGTCAGGATGTTTATTAGTGCTTCTGAAGCAGGCACAGCTCAAAAGGATGTACACACATACACATATAAACACACCCACACACGCACACATAAGTCCCATCCAATTCCTTGCTCTACAGTAGCAGATATTTAAGATTCCCTGCCATGCTCCCTATAGTCTGCCATGCACAGATCTTTTTCCATAGCAAGAGACCTGGCTGAGGAACATGATCAAAGGCGGCAGCCTCAATCTAGGAGATGGAGTCCAAGACATCTAGAGGGCTCTATCTTGGGGGAAGGCTGCTTAAAACAAATAAGGCTTCTGGGATTGTAATCTAATTCCACACCATGGGGTGATTGCAAAATTGAAGAAAGAATGCAGAGTTGTTGCTTTTAAATCAGGGACAAATGTACTACTGTTAATTCTCTTTAGTGTTCTCTAGCAAGCTACGTTTCAAGGGCTGAACAAGCATGACTTCTCATTCATAAATCCATAGCTTGATACTAATTCAACCTGCACAGCTCCCCGCCCCCGCCCCCAATTGCATGGATCCATAAGAAATCTCTTATGCACAAAGCCATAAATACCAGTGGCCAATGTGAAATCTCCACAATGCATTCTGCATGCATAAGCCAACTTGCATCAAGATAAGATTACTGGACAGAACCAGCTGCTAACCTACAAGAGGTCAGCACAGCCTAAAAAGCTAGCCACAGAAAAGATCAAATAAATCACCCTCTCAACCATAATAAATTAGACATCTGGGCTATCGCTTCCATCTATCTCAGGGGTGTCAAACTCAAGGCTGGGGGGGGGGCAGATCCGGGGTGCTTATATCTGGAAAGGACAGCAAAGGACTGGCCCGCAGTGCCTCTGCCAGCAAAAACAGAGCTCGGGAGCCCATTTTTGCTGGCAGAATTCTCAGGCCACCACAGACTCCCCCAAAATAAGTGATGTTGAGATGGCCATGCTCCCCGGTCCCCCAAGGTCAAATACAACACTGATGTGGCCCTCAATGAAATTAAGTTTGACATCCCTGATCTATCTGACCATTTTTAAATAATTCCAAAGTCTAAGCAATATGGTTTAGCTTGAGTAACTACCTTCAGCTAATTTAACTTTGCAAATAAAATATAAATAAATCACTCTTTGACCATTAACAAAACTCTTGAACATGGCAGTTATTCTTACACTGATGGGCTGATTTAACAGTGTAATAAGAAAACACTTGATTTTTTTGTTAAATTACTGATTTCTGAACTATTGGTCAGGATCTAGAGATAGCTTTCGATGTTTCTGACTTTTTTTTCTACCATCTCCATTAATCTAATCTTCCAAGTGGCTGTGCACATATAGTATTCCTCTCTCTACTCTGGATATAACAATGTAGACTATTATCCACAAAAATCTATGCTATATTAAATGTAAGTCTTTAGGATGTCATAGAATTCATTTTTGTTCTTGCTCTAGTGTACTATCAGAGTATAATGTTGTTCTGAAAATTAGCTGGATTTTTGCAAATATAACATTGTAAATATAATGAGGGTCTGTACATAAATGGAAGGAGTTACGAACTTGGCTCTCCTAGTTTTTTCTGGCTTGTATTTTTCATGACCCAGAAAAAATGGGTAACTTGTTAATTTATTATAAAGAGTAGCTGTAATTATTACACATGCTAACCTGTTGCATACAATTATATTTGTGCACTCTTACATCTATTTAGTTTCAACATTAAGTATAAAAATTACCCAAACTTCTTACTTCCTCTGAATTACATTTTATTATTGCTGCTCAGAGAAGAGAAGCCACTGATTTTCCTATAATAATGTTGGTGGAGAATTAGTATACAGGATCCAGTGAGAGCAAAGATGTATACATTAATGCAGATACACAGCGGTGGTTATAGAGGTGGTTTTCTTTATAACAGCCTGAAATCTAGCTCTAATTGATACTATGTTTAAAGTAAACAACACTGAACTTAAAGTAGAGGTTCATATTACTGAACACACTTCATTTAAAAATAAAGTACACGTAAGGAAGAATCTAGTATAGCTTTCTTGCAACAAATGCTAGCTTCCAATATGCAGATAGAGTACCTTGAAATAACTGTACTCTAATTTGGCCAGCTGAATGCTGAAAGTTAACAAAAACAATATAAAGTAAAAGCACTAAAATAAGCCTAGTTTTACAAGACCTAATCCAAAGTACTTTGAAATTGGATATCCCCAAGTCCATAGAAACCACTTATTAATTAACATAAAGACATTCCGCACATAAATTCTCCTGCATATGTTAACTTATATGGCCAGGAGCTGTGCAAAAACACAGGAATGTTTTAAGCAGATATTTTGCATTTCAATACAAGTTGTGCAGAAGAACTCTCTGAAGAGTAATACTCCATTATATATGTTTATGTCCCACTGTGTAGTCCTTAATGTTATTCAGCAATCTGCCACCACAGGCACCCTGCTCACTTATGAAGATTTTGGCTTTGACCAGTGTTTCTATAGACATGTGAAGTATAATCAATGCTTGCTTTGTAGCCAAGTGGAGGTACCAAATAATTTTCAGAACTTATGTGGTGTGGAACATGTATAAGACATATTTGTCTGATGAAGGATCTGACAGTTTGAATAAGGCAGAAGGAACAATAGTAGGACATCAAATAATGTTAACCGTGGGAGAATTAAGAAAAGTATGTGTACTTATTCATTCATTCTCTCTCTCTCTCTCTCACACACACACACACACACACACAGACAAACAGACACACAGACACACACACATAGCCGTGACTGCTAATTACATTCTGATCTCAGCTTTTATCTGGAAAATACAGGTTTTTCGTAAGATGACTGATGTCAGGACAGATCTCTCTTCATGAAGCACAAACAGTATTCCACTTTCCAAACCTCCCTACGTTCCTTAATTAAGAGCATTCACCAATGGATGGGGAAAGCAGGACCATGTCTGGATCTGCAGACAGAAGTGGCTTCAGAACCCATACAAATCATCTCCACTTCCTCCACAAGGCCCCACAAAGCTATATCACAGCAGCTGCTGACAGTACAACATTCAAGAGGAAGTTAATGAAAAACATTTAGCAGCATGAAAGCGGGTGGGCTTTCTTCTTACAGCAAGTTCAGTGCCATTTCAACCTATTGCACATGAAGACACAGGGTGTTTCCAATCTACTCCTTTGCTGCAGACATCAAACATATATATATATATATAAATTATTTTAATCTTCTGCAAACCCACCTGCCTGGGTTTGTACTGCTAGTTGTTAATAAATAAAATTTCTATATTGGGATGAATTCTACGGTAGAAAAAATCAGCCTTCCCACCAGGTACAAAAATAAATACGGGGCCATCTGTTTTAGGGAACTTTCCTGTAGTCCTGTATGTTGGACCCTGCCAGTGGCAGAGAAGTGTAGGATCCAGGAGTGAAAAGGGGTCCCAGAAGCACAGACAGCCAGCAGTCCAAAGTTTCTTCCTAAGAAGCTGGGTATAGGGGCATGAATGGAACTTGGCTGTGCGATTGTTGAGGCCATATCTGGAATGGTTGTGATTGTATTTTGCAGAAGCTGTGCGGGCAAAGAACTGAAAATGCTGCCATCTTCTTTGGAATGGAAAACTTCTGTCTGTCTCCCTGTTTCATTCAAATAATGGGAAATTACAGAAACGTGGAGCACAATCCAGGATTGCACAAATCCTTCTGAAATCAGGTGCTTAACAAAAGTGCTATTTTGCCTTTGGACTTTTCTTGTTAAATTCACTTCGAGGCTGGCACAGGAGAACATTCTGAAAGAAAGTGCTTCATGATATTTTCAAAACATATTTACAATTTCCCAGCCTTGTAAAAATAAATGGGGATTAGGGGTCATCTATTAATTAGTCTTTTTCACATTGATAGACTGCTATGTCACAGGGTAGTATATTCAGGTCTAAGCCTGCATTCTTTCCCAAAGAGCCAAAGGAACCTCTACAACAGATTAGCACTAGGTGTGGGGTCATTTTTAACTCAATGGGTTTGTTTGTTTGTTAATGCAGAATTCACTTAATTAGTAATCATTTGTACTTGCCATGAGAAAAGCAAGATAGAAACTGAGCTAGCTGGTTGATTTCTCCAAATCTTACACAGAACAGGTTGGTACTTTGTAATATAATAAAACCAGAGGCTCCTCAATCTTACTAGGAATTTAGTTACCAAACTTTGCACTAATATATAGAGAATGGGCATAAAGAACTTAAATAAAACATTCTATCTTCAATTTTACATGGGCCATTTTGACTTTTCCCCCTAGAAATGTACATGTTTGATTTGTTAAGATTACTAAATCATAACAAGGGATTTTGTTTTTAAAGATGGAAAAGGGAAATATTATTCTGGCTCTTTGAGTAGGATTTGAGGCCGTTCAGAAAAGGCATACTTAGTTGCCTCTCTATAGTTGAAAATGACAGGATGGACAATGCTGTTGCTTCTAACCTTCTTGAATAAACTGTGCAAAGGGAGAGTGGGAGGGCTATTGGGGCTTTGAGCCCTCTGTCACCCACAAATGCTACCTCAGATCCAATTCATGGCAAGTTTCACATATAGCTCATTTTTATTGTCCAAGATGATTTAATAAAAATAAATAGTTCTGAACCTTGGGAAATTTAGAATGGATATGCCATTAACTCTAAAAGATCTGACACTATTGCCAATTTTTTAGTTGATCAGGTGAAATGGGAATAGAGCCAAGTTACAGATCTTCTCATGAGCCTTTGGCACTTCTGAGAGCCATACCAATTATGAGAACCAATCCAAAAGGAGGTAAAGTGTAACGGCCACCAAAGGCATGCAGCTGTTGAAAACCACGGGAAGGAAGACAAAGAGGCTGAGGAACCGCAGGGAGCGTGTCAAGATCTTTTCAAGTTCATTATGAGGAACAGGACTGGTTTCAGGGGGCTTGTGGACATGAAGGCCCTCACCCAGCCAGAGGCTGCCATGCCCTATCAAGAAGCCCTGGCTCTTGCCTTGTCCATGGGCATCAAGAGGGCTGGATGGCAGGTCTGTGGGCCGCTTTGGTAGGGGCACTAGTGTCCGGGCTGGAACTACAAGGGGCATCACCATAGCCTCTGGAATTACTGGCCTCAAGGTGTTAGGTGCCACCACTCTCAAGCTGGGAAAGGGGTCAGAGTCCTTCATTGGACTCTGTTGGACATTTCCCTCTTCCAGATGATTTAGAAAGCAGCCTTCTAGTAAGACTGGTGGGCTATCACGGCCTGGTCCCACCACCTCAGGCGGTCCCTGTGTTGCATATCCTGCCATAATTCCCTCCTCCTCACTATCTCTGGAGTCATCATCCCGTTGCTTAGCATAGTACAGTGTGATCTCTTTTGCCAGGGAACTGTTGAGTGCTCTCTCTGGGCCTGTCCAGTTGACTATCAGGTCACGATCAGTCAAGACACTCTGTCGCAATGCAATGAGAGATGGTACAGGACTGGTGTTGCTGCCTGAGCTCTCTTCAGACCAGTCTCCTCTTCCTCCAAGCTCCTCTGCTCGAAGCCGGCTCAGATGGGACAAGTAAAGCTGTTCCAGTTCTCGATCTATGGCATCTTCCTCCAAGCGATGGGGCAGCTCTTGGTATCTTCTCAACTGTTCCTCCATGCATTCTTCCATGAAAGATCCCTCTGTGGTGAGGTCACACTTGCTGAATTCAGGAGCATCCCACTGTCCCAAGGGATGGGGTTCAGCACCTAGCATGAAACCCCATGGCACTTTCAGCTCCTCATGAGATGTAGTGTGGACCCTGATAGCATGTCCCTGTGGGGAATCAGTAAAATCTACGAGATGATCTTTAGAAGGGTCCTTCTTTTCTGGTGAGTCAGTAGTGATTGTGAGTTCTGGAATCTAGGCAGTGAAGGAAAAAGCAGAAAAAATAGACAGAATGTGAAAGAGAGTAGCAAAATAATATATTTATCTACACTGTGATGAATGCTCATAGCTACCTATGGAGTGGTAGAAACAGAGCATTAAGTTTCATCAGGAGAGTAAGGAATGTGCCCTTTTCTGCCTTAGGTGTTATGGCATAATAACCACAAAATTGCATGCCTATAGAGGAAACAAACAGCACACTTTACTTTCCACTTCCATTTGCACCATCATGTATTGATTAAATCTCTTTTTCAAGCACATTACTTGGAAAAAATATGCTGTAGGTCAGAAAATGTCTACATGGTAATTGAGTGATCATTATTTTAAAAAGAGGTATAAAAATCTGAAGTCCAAGCTCTTTTACTACCTATTTTTAATTGTTCATCTTTAAGAGGAGAAAAATTATGTTTCATTTATTATATTTTAACATCCATTACTTCTCCGTGCTCAAGGAGCATACATTGGTACGATCACTGTGGTATCCTGTAAGTAGTATGAATCAAAAGAAAGTGACAGACCAAAATCACCTAAATTTCTATTATCAAACCTGGTTCATCCCTGTCTAACTATGCAATTTTAACCACTATGCAACTGTTGTTTGCTGCCAAGATTTGGTAGCTTGTGTTTGAAGATTGAGGGAGCTACAAAAATTGAGGATTAGATACAGCCTACAGATTATAGGATCGTGATCTTATTAAAATTTTACTCTCAGTCTGTATCAAAAGCGTTAATTTTTAGGATAAAAATGGTTACATTTTAGCAAGAACCATGGGGAAATAAATGTTTATAGAATTAATGATACATTCATTTTAAGTATATTTGTTTAAATGAATGGACACCATATATTTCTGCAGGCAATGCTGATTAAGATGGTTATGTTAAGCAACAAGATAGTAGCCAAACTATGTATGATGTACTTATGAGAACAGCAATTTTATTATAAATATTCTTCCAGCCTCTGTTCTATTATTTATGATTTTGATATTGTTCTTTCCAGAACTAGTGCATTTTTCCCCTTTTTGTTGGGCTTGATTTGTAATAACAGATTACAAATTATTACAAATTATTTTATCATTTCTTCTTATATTTGCAATGGGCAAACCATTTTTCTTCCAGTAATCCTGCAGCTGCTGGCCCTGGTTTCTCAACCAACATTTCAGAGTCCCATTGACCAGCCCTCCCCAACCTTTCTGAGTTGGCGACCTGGCACTGGGGCGTTTGGTGGAAAGAGCAGATTTTGGGGGGCAAAGGGCAGGCATGCACACAGCTTCATTTGTGTGAGCGGTGGGTGCACGTACCAGTGCCCACCATGCACATGAGTGGGGCTGTGAGTGCAGCCCAATTGCAAACAGGCCACAGCCCAGTAGTGGCCACGACCCACAGGTTGGGGCCCCCTGCTGGAGACCATTTAAATCAGCGGCCGCCAACCAGTGGGCCGTGAGAAAATTTTGGTGGGCTGCAGAGAAATCTCACCCCCAGAGCACCCTCCCAAAGCAATTAATCCAGGCTGCGCAAAAACACAAGGCTGTGCCCCCCACATGGCCCGCTGGAACCCTCCCTGCCCACTCATTCCTTACCTGGCAAATTTGCCTGCTGAATTGCTATTTTTCCTTTTCTCCGACCATCATCTGTTCTGCTGTGCCGAGGTTTAGATTAGCTAGGAAGCAGAAAACAGTTGGATTTCTTGCTTTCTAGCTAGTCTTTAGATCTTCGGCTCTGCTTTTAAGTACAGCCAAACCTCCCTTAGGACTGAAGGTTTGCTTGCAAGCAAATTCAGTGCAGACTCATGGCAAGCAAATTTGAGAGACTGAGCTAGCCGATGGCAGATAGATAGAATGATTCTGTGAGCAACTCAATCTGCCTGCTTTGCCTGATTTTGGGTAAAAGTTTATCTTTTTTACAAAAATATTCAATATTTATATAAATATTTATAATGTTTACATACAAGCCATGCCCAGCCAGTCACATGACCACCAAGCCACACCCACAAATTAGGCCACGCCCATAGAACCGGTTAGTGGTCCCTGGGATCTAATATTATGAGTTTGGTGGTCCCTGAGGTCCAAAAGGTTGGCGACTCCTGATTTAAAGAATAACAGAGTTGGAAGGGATCTTGGAGGTCTTCTAGTCCAACGCCCTGCTCAGGCAGGAAACCCTATACCATTTCAGACCAGTGGTTGTATAAACTTTTCTTTAAAACTTCCAGTGTTGAAGTACCCACAACTTCTGGAGGCAAGTCGTTCCACTGATTAATTGGTTCTCACTGTCAGGAAATTTCTCCTTAGTTCTAGGTTGCTTCTCTCCTTGGTTAGTTTCCATCCATGGCTTCTTGTCCCACCCTAAGGTGCAGTCATCCCTGGTCCTTTTCATTAAACTGGATATACCCAATTCCTGTGGCCGTTCTTCAATTGTTTTAGTTTCCAGTCCCCAATTGTTATCAGATATCCAGGAACTCCAACACCTACCATGCCCTTGTTGACCTAGGCAATAATCGATCCAGCATATAAATCACATCTCTCCATATTGATTATGGGAGAGGCCCTCTTTGTGCAGCTTCTCTGATGAGACTGGTCTGGTATGGTTGAAGCTCTGTTGTAGCTCTTAATTCTCCACAGAGCATGCAAGACCCACAACCATATTAAGGGTATGCGTCACTGGAGGCATTATTATACATGTGTGAGCGATCAAAACTAGTGGAAATTTAATAATTCAAGCCCTAATCAAGGATCTATTAAGCTCCTGTAGCATCTAAGAATGTAGGCAGTTCCAAGCAGGATGGGTTGGGGTTTTGTGTGTGTGTGTGTGTGTAAAATTGGGATTTTCAGAACTGATAAATTCAGTATTTCCCAATATTGAGAAAGTTCTTTTGGTATCACTCCAAGTGCTCCAATCACAACTGATATAGCAAAGGATTTATTTTTCCATAAACGTTCAATCTGTAAATTTCAGTATTTTGTAACTTTTTCCAATTGTTTTTCCTCAATCACTTGAAATAGAGCATCAATGAACCAGACTTTCTTCTTTTCAATATTAGATATGCATATTATGAACAAGATGCCTGTCTGTTTGAATCTTAAGGTCTCATAAGATCTTAAAATTGCCAAGTTTTTCTCAATTTGATGGTTCCTATAGTTTTTTTATCCATTAAGATACAAACTCCCAGTAAAATCTCTAATTCTGGCAATTCAGTCATGATGCTTTGTCAATTTTGAAGTTTTGCTGCAGCCACTGATCAAATGGTCAATTGTTTCATCCTCTTTACTACAAAGATGACATTTGCATCTTACATATTGCGTCTTACATATTGAATTTTACCTTCATGCTATTAGTTGGCAAAGCTCGTTCTTGAGCTGTTAAAATAAGGCCTTTGGTTTCTTTTTATAATGCTCCAGATCTTAACATATGGGCTTTTTAAACTGACTTTTTCTTCTATATTCTTCAAGTATTAGCCAGGCATTGGCTTGTTTTTTCAATTAACACATCAGTTTTGCTTCTTTTCTATATTCAGTGTCACTAAAGCTTTCACCTTTGTTGTTTCAAGTGCTTTTTTTTTTTTACTGACTTCCTTCAGCAAAGGCTTTTGGCTTTTCTTAATTCAAACCATATTTTTCTTCTCCCATAGTTTGCTTCATCTGTAACAGTCCTCTATCCCCTTCTCCTTATCCTACAGAATTAGGAATGACTTTCTAACCGTTTAATCATTTTCTGGTTTTTGGTTCTTCCAAATGGAGTCACCAACCTTTCGGACCTCAGGGACCACTAAATTCATAATTTTAAATTGCACGGACCACCAATGTGATCTGCTAATGACCAGCTGGTTGGGCATGGCAAGGTTGTCATGTGACTGGGCGGGCATGGCCAACTTGATGTCACTCCTGTTGAGGGGCACCTCGCCAACCTCTACTTGCCCCTCCCCTCCCAGCCACTCCCTTGCCTGCTCGCTCGAGCTCCTTAGGGCCCCAACAGGAAGCAGCTGTTAGAGCTGAGTAGCCACCACAAGAAAGAGTTGGCAAAACAGCTGGTTCAGTTTAAATTGGATCTGACTGAGGAGGCTCAGCAAAAGCACCTCACTGAGGACTATGAGCATAACCTTTCCAAGCAGAGAGAAGACCTGCAGGAGTGCAAGGCCAGGTACTGGTGCCTGGAGGCTCAGCAGACTGAGATGGTCAGCCAGTTTCAGGCCATGATATAGTCCCACTGGAACAAGGCCCTCTGGCTCTTCGCCACCAGTGGCACTTCCCTCCAGCCTTCACTCAAAGCCCCACACCAGGAGGCTGAAGCAGACCCCAAGTTGGAATTTATGCCTCCCTCAAAGCCGCACAAAAAGTCCCCGAAGTGGGAGACTCTCTGCAGCAACACATTCATTGCACGTATCTGGCCCAGGAGTCGTAGTTTAAGGATTTAGTGCAATATGAAAAATGCAAATAAATTTTCTGCGGACCACCAAAATTTTCTCACGGACCACCAGTTGGTGACTGCTGCTTCCAAAACCCTCTATTCATCTGGTCTGCCAACCTCAGTTGTAGATTAACCTGAATCCATGCAGCTCGTCTGCTCTAGAAGCATTCCAGTTTTTACCTTCTCTGATTGCTTTCATACCATTTCTTCAATTGCCCTAATGTTTTTCCATACTGACTATTTCCGATGCATGTTCAATTTGTTTGAACCATACTGTACTCCTACTGTTTTCCCATAAACATTTCCAAAATTTTAGGGTCTCTGTCAGGCTTCATTTGTAGTTAGTCCTTTCCCTTTTTCAAGCATTTTGTGGAATTTAATATTGATTTGCTTTAAATTGCAAAATCTGCAGGAACTGATTTATTTGATTCTCATATTACGTGATCTTCTCTGTAATAGCCATAACACTTTCTCTCAACTGTTCTGCAGCCTCTAAAATTCCTTTACTGTCCAGGTTGTACTTCACCCATACCCACACACAGTTTTGATTTTTTTTTTCCCAAGGTTCCTTGCTTCAA